TATGCAGTGTATCCTGCCATGTACGCCCTGCTCTCATTTTTCTGGAATGCCGGCACTCTGGCACCTTCCAAGGTAGACATTGTGGGCTTTATCGGCACTCTGGCCAAAAAACATTGCCTACCCCTGTTCTAGAACCTTAACCCTGTTCTTTTCATGGGACTCTAGAACTCCCTTTTACCCCACCCTAACCACATCCTGTCTCTGACGAAGATGTATATTGTCCTGATTATGGAGTGAACCCTACTCCCCTTAGCAGCCATTGTGGTCAGGGATCCACTTAGCTGACCCCATTTTGGCCTTAATTATTCCCTCCAACCAGCTAACAATCCACAGCTGCTTAATCAATTGACTCAGCAGTCAAAGGTACAGATTTCTGTCTACCTGAGTCCAAAAGTCCATATGCCAGTGCCTTACTTCATTGACATAGAAACATGTCCTTCCCCAACAGGAGACCCTTTAGGGCCGTGGCCTTCACATGCCCTGGTCCTGCTGCAGGAAGCTTCTTTAATATTCCAACTGACCCCCAGCGACCCTGAATCCTTAGTCTTGGGACCTAATTAAATACTCTGGGGCTTCCAGCTGCCCCTTCTCTTTCAGTGTATGTGGGGCCTGGGTGTAGGGACCTGCTCCAGGCTGGCCTCTGACCTCCAGGTCTGATCCTAACCCCTGGGTGGTGAATAGTGCCCCAGTGCTTGGGTCTTCCACCTGGGATCCCCCTGACCTGAAAGCTGCCACATCTCCAGCTGTCCACCTGGAGTCACTGGTGCCTGCTCTGGTGTCTGTAGGCTGTTGGATTCTATGAAGGGTGCTCATCCAAGCGCTGCACCCGTTGGACTGGGCTGGCTGCTCTGCTTTGGCAGCCAGCTGCTCCCTGTCTGGGAACTGCTCAGCCTTCCCCTTCTGCTGCACACTGCTGCCTCTGCCCCTCTCAGATTACTTTCTTCCATGTTCTCTCTGCCAGTCTGGAGCCTCACGCTGCTCCAGAAGCACCGCAGCACTCTTGCACACCAGTGCCAGGCAGTTGCCTGTGCCATGGTAAGTCCAGGATGCTGGCTGTTACCCTCTCTCTCTCTCCTCACCCACAGGGTACAGCCTCTGTGCAGACACCCTAGTTTTTTTGAGAGAGAGAGAGAGTTCTTCAAATGATTGCTCTTGTGCACATCTTCATGTATGTTCACATACACTCAAGCACTTTTTTGTGTTAGCTGTATCTTTAGGGTGAACCATTAGACTGCTGTCCTTCCTAGTTCTCTATGTGTACAAGTTTAGAGGGAAGTAGGCACTTTCTGCTCCTCAATTTTCCTCAGTCACCTTGGCTAAAGAAAGATCAGTCTTACAGGCTTGTGCTTTCACCTTGCAAGGTGCCCAAATCCTTTCTTTGAAGTGTTGCTTCTCAGCTATTGTTCGTATCACTTTTACTTTTCTCTCTCGTTTTTATTGTATAAGTAGAAAAAGAAAGGAGAAATAACAGCTAAGGAGAGGTCTTGTTAGGGTTTGGTATCCTTTAGCTTTTCCCATATTTTTCCAGCCCCACGTAGTCGCACCATTTTAGGGGCTCACTTCCCCCCTGAATTCTCTCTCTTTTCTTTGGGTGGAGCAGTTGGATTCTATTATTGTTATGGTTTCTCCCTAGTCCAGAATTTAAAATGTCTGGTCTTGTGGCAGTGCTATATCTGCATCTTATAGGCACACAATATGCATACGCTGCCTAGAATAATTCCATTTCTTGGGATATACTCTATGTAGGCACTTTACATTTTAAACTTGAAAGGTGTGTGAAACTTGGTTTCAGAGGTATCTCAATAGTAAATCTGTGACATCTACCTATGAACCAGGGACAAAAGAGTTAGCTAGACACCTGCATCCTGCCACACTGGTTCTTCGTGGAGGCCCCACCATTCAGCTCAGACGCATAGTTTCCTTGAAAGCACAGTCTTAGTTTTCCAGTGTTTTGCTGGTTCCCAACCCAGGTGCCTTAGAGCTGAGAGCCTGAGCAAAGCAGCTGTTTCCTGAGATGTATTCTCTAAATATGAGTGATGCTTTTTCATGTGGTCCAGTCTCTTGCTTACATGATGGAAGGCTCAACTCAACATGTACAAAAGGAATTTGTTTTCTCCCTGCTTGTCTATCCTTGACAATTGATACTACTGCTTCCTGATTAGGATACAGAGTCCATGTCAACACTTCCAGACAAAGGGTCTCTGGAAATTGCTAAGTTCCAGTTCAGTGGGTGTGTCTACACATGCAATTAAGCGGGGTCAGCTCTGGGTTCCGGGTGGCAGTGGAGGACAGCAGAAGGGCTCGCTCGGGCACAAGGGAGCTGAAAGCACAGAGCCATGTCACTAGGTGGCAGGCAGGAGTCTGACCCCCTGCTGGCTGGGCTGACTAGGCACAATTTACGCCTGCAGTCAGCATCTAAGCATGCATTTAATTGCAGCAAATTACCCTGGTGTAAGATACTGTTATCCCTAGCAGTGCTTATGCTGATGTAAATTAGTTTACTGTGGCCTAATCACACGTGTAGATGGCGCTGCTTTACTTCACAGCTAATTGTTCTACTCCTCAGTAAAGCACATGTGTAGATGTGGCCAGTGTGTTGGAATTTAGGATGGTACATAGAGCTTGCCATGTTCTTCCTCTGCTGTATTCAGCAGATCCTGTTCATATCCTAGTAGGCAGTACTACATTGCTATTCTATAAATACATACCTGATAGCTCAAGATTCTCCCCTTTCTATGCCAGGAAGTGTTTAAGTCATTTATAGCCTTTGTAGTTATGAATGTTATAAAATCAAAGTTTTTTTAGCTTTGGCTATGAATGAAGTATGAGCAGACTTTGAGCTCGGTTTATACCGTGGTTTTTTGGTTGGTAAATGCTTCTCACTAGTGTACAAAGATTTAAAAAATAGCTGCTCTTAGTTATACTTTAAGTAAGTAGTAAGAAAAACAATTTGTTTAATGGAAAAGACTAATGGAAAAATAGCCCTTTTTCAGATATTTAAGAAAGAAGATGGCTGTATGATTGAGTTATTCAGAGAGCCTTTGCAATGTTCTTTTCAATTGGAAGAGCTAATGCATGGTTTTGTTGGTTTTGAAAGATCAGACTAAATATATATGAGGTTATTTTGATTCTTAATATTTTTGACACTCAGTATTGGATAAAAGTTATAGGTATTTAATTAAAGATTATTCTCTTCATCCTCTTCTAGGATTTCCATTTGAATAGAGTGAACCTGGAAGAACCTTCAGGAATGGAAAATTCTCCAGCAGGAGCTAGACCAAAGAAAAAAAATAAAAAGTCATATGACTTAACTGCATTGGATAAATTTTGGCAAAAGCACAAAGGCAGGTAAGAGGACCAGTTGGAGAATGTATATTTAAATTAGTAATCTTGTACTGAAAATGTATTCTTAACAGGCAAGTATTTTTTTCTTAGCTTTCATAGACATTAGATTTTATAGACATTAGGGGCTGGAAGGACTTTGAGACCAGCCCCTCTGCCCCTTGGTTACAGAGAAGTGTAATTAAGTCTTAACTTTTTAATATGGGCTCTTAAATTACAACACCCTTCCTAAAGAACTCTGATAATTTCATAAAATTAGGTATGCTTGGTAAAATCTTTATGTTAATATTTTTCAGAAAAATATTTTAAATCTTGTTTGAAGTCAACAAAAAGGTTAGGAGTATTAGTTTGATAATCCTGAGAAAGTACACAAGTGACAAATTTATACAAGAATTTAATCGATGCATTTAATTACATTCCATTTTTCATGGACCTGTGGAATAAAATTAATTTATGAAAAAATTTTGAATTCAGAGTTTGCTGGGGAAAATCATAGTTACTGATAGGGAGAGCTGGTACACAAAGATCAGGAAATTCTTTGTGTACCAGTGAAGAATTTTATGTTGGAGGCTCTTGAGGAATGGAATCTGTACTGATCTTAGCCTACTTAAAGAAACAACCTGCTATATAAAGTTCTGTTCCAATTAAAATTGTTGGATTTAAAGAGGGTGTTTGATCTGATTCATTTAGCTATTTTTATGTTAGTCAAAATTGGAAGGTGTTCAGAAGCCATGCAGTCTAGCCCCCTGTACAGATGGTTTAGGATTTGTCCTTCCTTGACCATTTCAGATAAATGCTTGTCAATTCTCTTTTTGGATATCCCCAATTTATCTATTTGATTATTAGATTTATATCCCACTCCAAAATTACACATCTTTCTTAGGCAGCTTATTCCATTGCCCTGCCCTTTTTACACTTAGAAAGTGTTTCCTGGTATTTGTTCTCAAACTGCTTTTCTCTGTTTGAAATTCAGTCGTCATGTTCTGTTCTCTCTGGCTGAGAACAACAATTTCTCTCCCCCTTTTACTGGTGAATGTTTGTCAATATGAAATGTAGGATGAATACATCACTATTGGTTGAATTTAATTTCTTGAGCTATAACAGGAGCTGAAGTAGAGCAGTGGTTCTCAGCCTTTTTAGACCCAAAGCACCCCTTGGAAAATGCCACCTCAGTTAAAATAATGAGTGAAAACTACAGAAAGATAATAGAGCAATTATTTGCAACTCAAAAGAACTCAGAAAAACCACAAGAGATCTGCATGATGTTAAAATCATTCTTTCCTATTTGAAATCTCTAGGTTTAAATTGTAAATCATGCTTGCATACGGAAAAGCACTAATGTTGTGTGGCACCCTGCAGCACCCTTGAAAGGGTGTCAAGGCACCAATTCAGTTAGTCAGAGTCCTGTGTCTATACCATAGCATAGTTTGAATCAGAGTACTGTGTCTGTGCCATGGCACCCTAGTTGAGAATCACTGAGTTAAAGGAATTGCTTACCTGGAAAATCCTTATCTCTTTTCCAGGTATAGAGCTTGATTTTTAGGGCTTTATAGAAACATGTGCAGCATGTTGAAGTCTGCTGAACACCTGGACTACTCATTTTATATCTCAGTAGTCATTCCTTCATGTACTTTATTTTTAGTATTTGATGATCATGAAGCTATGATGCCTTTTTTTATAAACAAGATTTTTATAAACAAGATTCAATAAATTATATCAAGTAATTCATATTTGCACTGGAAGCTTAGCTATAAATTTAATAAGATATATAGTTTTCAGTATTTTAGTAGCGCTGGATGGGTCATGCATTGATGTTGCAAAAGACGTTTCCGCAATTATCTGAATCAGATAGATCATCAAGGTTTACATTTGATGTTTTAACAGAACCTGATATGTAATATTGCTTTAGTCCTTTTCCAGAAGTAGCAGAGTCTGTTCAGCAAGAACTGGAATCCTACAGAGCTCAAGAAGATGAAGTCAAAAGGCTTAAAAGTATCATGGTAAGGCTTATATAACACAGGAATCATTTCCCTGATAATCCCAGTAACCTTTATTTGCACCTGTTCCATATAAAATCTTTCTTGATAATAGGTAACCAGAATTGCCACTGCCTGTGTATGATTGCATAAATTTTCCTCCTCTTCCACTGGCAAATGTACCGAATACTCAGCTTATTGTCAAATAGCTCTGGAGATCTGCTGGACCCAGCCACTGATTAGCTGATCAGAGGCAGCAAGGGACTATGCCAGGGCTTAAATGTGCCCTTGTTCAGTATCCATGTTGCCCCTGATCAGCTGACAGATGGCTGGCAGGGACAGCGCAGAGTGAGCCTCAGGATGGTCCATCTAGCCATGCATTTATTTTTAAGGTGCAACTGAAACTAGCCACAAAATTATTATATACTTAATTGCGTAATAATTTTGTGGCTGGTTTTGCTTTTTGTCACACCATTAATTTCTTAAGTAGCTGGGTTACACTGATGCAATTAATTAACATATCAGTTATCTTGCCAAACAAATATTAGTCTGGCATAATCCAATTTTGATAGAGCGTCTTTGCATTTTATTCCATTTTCTGTTTTTTTCCATTGCATTCTTATTCCATTTCTATTTTTTATTGTTCTTTCTTTCAAAATATGTTCTAAAGGCTTGCATACTACTGAGGTCAAACTAGTGGTTCTTAAATGGGTACAGAACTTTTCCTGGATTTGCACAATGAAAGTATTCACTGGGCACTGTTGTCAATGCAAGAAAATAAATCATAAATATACTTGCAAGTATGATTTTTGTGCCAACAATAAATGTAGTTGTAGCTTTTTGACATTAATATTTTCAACAGGGAATAGAAGGGGAGGATGATGGAGCAATAAGTATGCTTTCTGATAATACAGCTAAGCTAACTTCAGCTGTTAGGTAAGTAATTAAGCACTAGTAAGTAAAATAGCTTTTCATGTTTTCTGCTGTTTTCTGTTAACATACTCCAGTGATTTCTCAACCTTTGGAATATCTAGACTGTTAGCAGATTGTGAAGTAGAATTTGACTAGCATGGCAAAACATCAAAAATATTTTAGTCTGGAGGAAATTGTTGGAGTAACTGCAGTATGATTTTCACTTCTCATTTGAGAGCGCCATTGAAACTGGATTCTCTTTAACCAGTAGTGTTTGGTGGGATTGTCACTATATCCTAAATGCCCCTGTATTCAAATGCATCAAAAGTGGAATGGGCTCAATCACCTCAGTACTGCCTTAGTGCGTTTCACTGTGAAACCCAGTACCTAGGATATCTACTTTCCACGCATGTTGAAATGAAGTGTTAGGGTAATTCATTGTAGTCAGATGATCAGTGCAATTACAGAAGCTAATACCTGTGGTTTAATAGCCATTGGCAAAATAACTTATATTAGGACTTCCCTGTTAGTTTAGGAATTACTCCCATATTAGAGAGATAGCTGCAATAGCTAAAACTAAATACCTGTTGCAAAGCTGCTAAACTGCTTAGTTGATGGACATTCCTAAAGATCCAGGTACAGTACCTGAAGATCCAGCAGCATGCTAAGGCTGCTAACCCAAGCAGCAAGGGGAGCCTGAATCCAATCAATAACAGGTATCCTGGTACCCCCAAGCTCTTGAGGTCTGTCCACTACTATCATTTCTGTCTTGACTGAATTCAGTCTCAATTGGTTCACCCACATCCAATCCTCACCTATAAAAAGGCACTGCAGGACCTGGATCAGATGAGGGGAGGAGATGGGTGCTGTCAGCATACCGATGGCACCTCACTCCAAACCTTCTGCAGTCATTCTGTCACCTGCCTTCTAAGTGAAGTCACTACAGTCTGAGTAGAATCCATGTAGACAGTCGCTTGAAAGAACAATTACTTACCTTACAGCAGTGCTTCCCAAACCTTTCCTCAGCATGACCCCATTTATGGCCCCATTACCTCCCCATCCCCCCCCCCCCCCTCCCCTCTCCTGGCACCCCTCACCCCGGCGGGGG